CCGGGGGGGGGGGGGGCTTTCAGGGGAGCTTCTTGTTTTTTTCTGGGTGCTCTGTGCTTTCCCACCTCATGGCTCTTTTACTGGAATTCAGACTATTCAAGAGCGGTCATTCCACTGTATTACAAATAAAGATATCTCACAGAAGAAATCTGTTTCAGAGCATTACCTGGAGAGGTGACCCAAAAAGAGCTTGACGAGACACAGGAATGTAAAATGCTGAAAAAGAAGATCAAAGAGCTAGAGGCAAAGTAAGGTCTTTATTCAAATTTCTGACACATTGTGTGTTTGTACACTGAAAAGCCACATACTTCTTGCTTCCCCCAGTCCTTAGGGACTCTGTTTCTGCCCAGACAGCCTAGGCACCTTTTCCCCAGACTTTTAACCTGCCAGCATCTCTTTGTAACTGATTTCTCGAAGATGGCTTGGGTTGTTCTGGAAAGGAAAGGAGGTATTCCCAGGGTAAACATCTTAATGAAAGAAATCAGCCTACAATGACATTGTTGAAATGCTGCTCTTTGACCAGATTCCACTGTGATCATGCAAAACTGAGCTGAGAAAGCACTATTTCCCACATTAAAGCTGCTTGCCAGCTATATAATATAGTTGAGAAATGCATTGTAGAAAACATGAGATTCATTAGATTCCTAACATGCCATAAAATAGTTATGCTTATCCATTGTTTCATCTTGTCTTATCTTAGTTTTTTAATATCCTTCTTGTCTTAGAAACAGCAAGCTCTTGTCTAAAGTGATGAGCTTACACAAGAACTCTGAGAACATGAATGACCCTTTTCATCTGACTGCTGTGCTGAATACGTATTACATGCTCAGGCTACAGGAATGGGAAAAATTCAGGAGAGTCTGCTCTTTGACATATAAATCTGGCAGCAAAATAATTAAGGTTTGTTCATGTCCATTTTCTCAATCTGAGTCTTATCATATCAATATGGTGTAGCCATCGTAGAAGGCTTTAAGTATTAGTATTTCTGTATCAGACAGGGCTGGGGACTAAGTTTGAGTCTCTGGTTTTCAAGTCCAGCAGGGTCTGTGTAATACTGTAGAGAGCAAACTGATGGTGACCTGCTTCCTCCTGCCTTTCAGGTCATATTCAAATCCCAGTCCCATATCTCACCCATGCTAAGCACAAGTGGGAAAACATATTCCAGTTTCCTGATGGTTAACACTTTAAGTAATAGATGGGAGACTTCATTCTGATGTCTGACTCACTGCTTTAATGCTGGGGGAATCTGAAGGAAAATATCAAAATTGTACACCTTAAAGGACAAGACTGAGATGAGGTAATTATTGCCATTGGTTGTGATGATGCTGAAGAATGGGCTTCAAAATGCAAACAGCTTGATGAAACAGTTTATTTCCCAGGTATTGAAGACATATTTCAAGCAATTAGTGGCCTTACAACTTACTCTAATGCAGATGTGGCTTCAACACTTGCTTTCCATACATACTACACCTCTTGTTTCACTGTGATTGGTGCTGTAATCAACTGTTGTCTTTGCATTGCAGAAGCTGTTTGATGCCTGTGAGAAAGATATACAGCAGAGAACAACTGCAATATTTGGAGTTCTTGAAATTCCACATTCAAATGACGCTATGACCAACAGCAAACAGGTAGTTTATGTTTCTGTGTGACTGAACAGAGGCAGCGGGATAAAAGGGCCATCTGCATCTGCCATTCATTTAGAACTTAGCTTCTGCTAGGGACACTGCTCAAAATATATTGGCAATGACAGTGGGGATAACTTCTGCGATAAGAGGGTGGAGGTGTGGAAAGCTGAGCTCCAGCAACCCTTCTGTGTCTCACGATACACAGACATACACTGCATGTCTGAATTGTCCAGCCAGCTGAGGCACAGCTGGCACAAGCACAGAAAGCATTTTCCAGCCCTGTGTTGCTGTTATGGGACATTTCTCCAAAGCTTGAAACAGGCGGCTTCTCCATTGCCGATCGACAAAATCTGAGAACCGAAAATTCCCAGCACTTGGGGCTTGGACTGCTGGCCACACTACATGCTAACAGTCTGCTTTGTGTGGTGCTTGGTTTGCAGGAGGTGATCCAAGAGATAAGGAATCTCCTCAGATATTCCTATAGCCAAAACAACTCAAAGATTTACCACAACATTGTCTCTGTAAGTAAAGATACAGCCCAGGCACAGGGGTGGTGGTTCAGTTTTCTGGCGTGTCTATGCAGCTTGGTATTTAAAAAAATGGGAGGTCTCCCTTCTGCTTGGGGTTATTTTTCCCCTGTGGTGACGGTCTTGCAGCCCATATACTCCCAAAATATTCTCACAGGCATGCACAGAAGTACATGTAACCTTCCAAGGGAGATACAAAGCTGCACCGGGAACAGTGGGAAACCACAGGACAGGCAGGGCAGTGCCTGTACCAGAAGGGTACAGTCCTGCTGGACACAAGCAAGGCGCAAAAAGCAGGGCCAGTGGTGGTGATCCAGGTCAACCACAGACCAGTGATCACCAGGCACAGTGATCAGGCAGGTCAAGACCGAGCTGTGAGGTTGGTCTGTGGGTCAGGGTCAGGAAGGCTGGGCGCAGGGATTCCAACACCACAGGCAAGCACCCAGCCACCACTGACCTTGAATCGGCGCTGGGGCCAAGTGGTGGAGGGTCTGTGGGTGGAGATGAGGCTTCTCATAACTCCTTCTCATGCCACCCTCTCTGCCAGCTTAGCTGTCTTTGCAGCAGTGGAATCCAGGGTTATATGGCCATGCTATATCAGAGCTGACCTCGAACGCAAGCAGCAAAACCTCTGGGGCGGCAGGGGAACGTTGCACTGTTGGGTGTGCACAGAGCCCTGACACTTGCTATCCAGACAGACTATAGTCTAGTGGTTTTTTTCTGGGAAACATCCATATATATGTATTTATATGTCATATATATCACATATATATGAAGCTTCCGAAGAGCATCTTCCACCTTTTGTAGCTTGCTGGGCCTTTCCAAAAGCTCAGCCTTCTTAAGCTCTTTGCAGACTTCTCTATGACGAAACAGAGATAGTTGCTGGATGCTGGAACAGTCCAGAAGCCAGGACTTAATAAATGAAAGGACCATTAAAGTGACCTTGGGACCTCTGTCTGTCCTGATCAAACGGTCCCATCCGCTTTGACAAATGAAGTTCTTCAGTCCTTAGTTCATGTGGAGCAGCTGCACAGAACAGGGAGGTAATGTAACATTACATCAACATAACACTACAAAGCTCTGAAAACTCTTCTCACTTGATTTTCAGAAAGCTGGCATTGACAAAAAAATTGTCACTCAAGAGTTCACAGTGCAGTGCTGCAAAGTCTACTGTTTCCTGCTTCTTCAGGACCCACCGGTTGAAGCTGTGTGGAACCCACATGAAATGCAGTATTTAGAGCATGTGGACAAGAAAGCCAGTGACCACTGGGAAAAACCAGCATTTCTGTGGCCCATAATGAAATGCAGGGAACAAGTCATTGAGAAAGGTGTAGTCTGGGATGAAAACTAGCATGATTTCAGATTCAAGCTACTGACTTATATGGCCACAAGAAGATGAAATAGCTGCTGTGCAAGATGCTGCTTTCTTTCTCCCATGAAAGGCCTGCTTTTCAGAGCTAGCAAGTTAGATGTTCCTGGCTTGGGCCACCTAGCGTAAATCACTATTTACAAGCATGTATTAAAATTGAAGATATTCGCCTCAGCAGCCATGCGTACACTTTATGTAACATTTGTCCCTTGCTGTCTCTAAACAGCATTTGTGTGGAAAGAGAATCTGTTTCTCCAGCCTACCTTACCTGCTCTTCACAAATACTTACAACGTTGTCACATAACAGTGGGGATTTCAGCCACCACATGGAGGCACTTGCCTCCTCCTCACCAACAGCATGGAGTAGGACCAACGCTTTGCAGGGTCCCTAACAGAAAGGGCATCACTGCCCTCCCCTGCATCTATGGTGGGTACTCAGACTGCAGGCTCATGCTGTCTGTTAATGAATAAGCACCGAGGATGAAGATGGTCTGTTGGGAAACACAAATCCTTCTTGGGTAAACATGTACTTAGCTGAGTAAGAGAACAAGGAACTAAAAGACAAAGGCTGACAGACTCTCAAAAGACAGCTGTGCATAGGTATGTGTGCCCAGACGCAGACAGTGAGGCCCACTCTTATATGCCAAAAGGCCACTTGTGTCCACACAAATGCCACCTCCCCGTCAGTACTCATCTGCTTTCCCACGTCTGTAGAATCTACTGCTCCATAGCCCTTCAGCTCTTGATCAAAGTGAGGCAAATGCATGTTTATGTGCTTGTGTGACAAACTATTCAGTGTGAATCTTGAGATGTGCCAAATAAAAAAGACTGGAAATCCTGCTGTGTGCCTGCTAAGTCCTTTCTTCCAGTTTTGCTTTCTAGCCCAGCAGTGTCTTCGGTTGCACAAACTCCCTGGCATTTTCTTGAGGGCCCTCAGGAAGGCAGGCAAATTTCTGTGCAGCTCTCTGCAAGCAAATTGCTCTGCTTCTCTTGTTACTGCAAACCAGCAGATAAAACTTTCTAAGACTCAGTTTAAAGTTTTAGAAAGCAGGCATTCTTTATCGTGGCGCCGGGTGCGCAGGGGATAGCTCCTCATATTGTGCACCCTGAATGCTGTTGTCAAGCCTAATTTATACACGACAGGTATACATATTCTATGTAATTCCAAGAAAATATTAGCATATTCATTGTATTTCTGATGATTCATTTACATATTATAATAAGCTTCTGGGCATGCGTAGCTGCGCCTTCTGGTGGTCCTCATTTTGAGTGAGGGTCATTTCTTCCTCAATCTTCATCTTCTTCATCTGTCCTTTGGCTCACTTTTCATGTTGGCAAAATATTTTAACTGCTTAATTGATCATTAAAATTAATGATCTTTCTGCTACCATCTGTTTGTCAGATAATGTCCATATTTATTGCATCTCTGTCTTAAGTCACCGCGTTCTCAAGGCCACATACATCCTTTCTTATCTTACTAAGTCCTTGAAATGATTTGGGATGGTTACTAAAATAGCTACATTTCTTCTCTAAAAGAATATTCTCTACAGTTTAACCATTTATGGATTACATAAAGTCTGTTTCAGGTATGACTCTCAGGAATCCACTATTCTGTGAGCATGTTGTAGGATGCTGACAACATGAGCTGGGATCAAGGTATGTGCAAGAAAACTGGCTTTTAGAAAACCAGAGTATTCTAAGAAACAGACTGTAAAAAGCTTTCACTGGAAATATTTATTGTGGAATAGAGCAGATGAATAGAAATTACATATGCACCATATTTCCTACAAATTTTGCAGAAGGAAAGAACTTCTCATGTATAGTCCTTTTCTTGGAGTTTTCTTAACACCTTTTTTTTTTGCTGGCTTTAGGCTAAAACACTCAAGTTACAAAGCTTTATCTTTCAAAGGCTGATATAAAGCCTTCAGAAGGCCACAAGCACAGCTGCATCTTTTCCAGCAGGCTTCACACACACTTCCTAATCTCTCTTAACAGCAGGAGAAGACTTTTTGCTCCATGTGTACAGCACCTAGTAGAATCCAGCAGACTTGGGCTCTGAGGTACTGCTGAAACATCTTTTCCCTGTTGTGTATCACTCAGCTGATCTCAAAGGAGCAACCCTTTCCCCCTGCCTGCAAAGGGTGTCATTTGGCCTAAGGTGCAGCAGCCCCGAAACAGTGAATGGGCTGCCTCCTTCCTGCACAGCTACAGGATTTGTAACCGCTCACAGCAGACCAGGTACTTCATCCACTAGCAACAAAGGTCCATTGATCACCACGAAGTGCCTCTGTGCGTGAAATTTCCCTGTTGCCAGACTCTCCTGGTGCAAAGAACAACATCCAGCCTATGATTCAACACAACCTCTTTTCCCAGTTCCTGATGTTTGAGGGTGAGATTTCAGCTGAGCTGAACGCACACCGGTGCGGTGAGCTAGACCACACATTTTGTGTGGGTTGCATTCCTTAAACCACTCCTACTAGCAAGGTAAGATGCGGGACTTAAATGTCAAATGTCCCAGATAAGTCTAAGCACTTTGGAGCAATCAACAAAACACAATTTTTCTGGAAAGGTCGCTGGGCTGCCTGAGATAGCCTGAAGCCTCCAAACAAGAATGTCCCTGAAGAACAGGTTGAGTCACACAGATACATCCTGCCTTTCTCCATCCACCTAAGTCATGGCAATCCCAGGCACAAATACAGGTTGGGCAGAGAATGGCTTGAGAGTAGCCCTGAGGAGGACTTGGGAGCGTTGGTGGATGAGAAGCTCAATGTGAATCAGCAATGTGCACTGGCAGCCCAGAAAGCCAACCGCATCCTGAGCTGCATCAAAAGAAGTGTGGCCAGCAGGTCGAGAAAGGCAATTCTGCCCCTGTGCTCTGCTCTCACGAGATCCCACCTGGAGTACTGTATCCAGCTCTGGAGTCCTCAGCACAAGAAGGACATGGACCTGTTGGAATGAGTCCAGAGGAGGGCCACGAAGATGATCAGGGGCTGGAGCACCTCTCCTATGAAGACAGGCTGAGAGAGTTGGGATTGTTCAGCCTGGAGAAGGCTCCAGGGAGACCTTATAATGGCCTTCCAGTCCCTAAAGGGGAACTACAGGAGAGATGGGGAGGGACTCTTTATCAGGGAGTCTAGTGATAGGATGAGGGGAAACGGTTTTAAACAGAAAGAGGGGAGATTTATATTAGATATCAGGAAGAAATTCTTTAGTGTGAGAGTGGCGAGGCACTGCAACAGGTTGTTCAGGGAAGCTGTGGATGCCCCATCCCTGGAGGTGTTCAAGGCCAGGCTGGATGGGGCTTTGAGCAACCTGGTTTAGTGGGAGGTGTCCCTGCCCAGGCAGAGGGGTTGGAACTCAATGATCTTTAAGGTCCCTTCCAACCCGAACCATTCTATGATTGTATGATTCTATGTTGTACAGGATGTAATCATGAAATAACCCAGAGTTGTCTTCTCTTCCTTCTTTGGGTCTATATCACCATTAAGAGACTTGGAGAAATGCTGCTGCTACTGCTGAAATGTTTTTTTACTTTACCTTATTCCACCCTGTACATCCTGGGGACAAGCAGACTCTTCTGTGGCCTGAAAAGTGTATTGTATTTCCCACCACCTCCTCCCCTCCCTTTTCATCAGTCAACACAACTATGCAAGTCTCCCCCTCCTTTGGTCTCATTTACTATCTAAACCAAGCCTAGTTCTGACCTAGACTTTGTTCAAATCTCATTGGAGACCCTGAGACCCTTTCCCTGCTCATAGAATCTTCACCCAGAAGAAGCAAGTCTACCCATATCTCTATGCCTCACATTTCACAGATGGATGGCAAACGATGGGAATCTAAGTTTGCTCATCCCTGCCAGAGATGACATCACCAGCACGATAAGAGCTCGGTACACATGAATTCACATAGCCAAGTGGGTTACATCCTCTACCTGGTATCTGGAAGGATTTCTCTGCTATTATCCTACCAATGTTGGAGGATCATCCCTGGAACTGAGGCGCAATGGCTTTTCTTCAGCTCTGTAGGATGCAACTAGTTGCTATCTCAGTTCTTCAGACTTTGGTGGGAGAGCTGTCTGTCTGCTCCAACCAAAGACCCAGCGTGGCAATGCCAGTGTTTGATGCCAGGACAAACACATTAAGGCAACCAGCTGCAAGCTGAGGCTTAGGAGGCGGCGAGCGGGTGCCTCCTCTGGCCAGGCAGGATGGGCAAACGCCTGGGCCACCAACACCCAGGCTCCGAGAGTCGCCCTTTCCTGCTGCAACACCCTCATCTAACCTGGACAAAAAGCAACAGCACCACAACAAGTCTTGTTCTGTTCTGCGTTACATCCAATGCAAATAACTGAAGTGCTCTGGCGAAGAAATTAGAAGAGAAGATGACCAGTTCTGTGTGTTTGCTAATAGTTTAATTTTTTACCATAATAAAAATATCCTGCTATTTCTGCAAATGTTTTAGTCCAAGCTAAATCTCAAATTTGATCATTTTTCTTTTTCCACTCTTATTTCTTAAAATGACAATTATTCCTGCTAGGGAACATCTGCATTAATAAATAATTAACAGAGTAACAAAGATCTCAGTTTATAGACATAAAGAAGAACTAGAATTCAAACAGAACTCATAATAACTGGCATTCCTGGTATAACTTCCAAAAATGTTAATGCCTCTATATCTTCAATCTGAACAAAAAAAAGAATATATAATAAGTCAGGAGATTGTTATTGTAATTACTAGGATTCTACTTCAGTGTACAAAACATGACATAGAAAAATTACCCCCACAGCAGCTCATTCCACTTTGAGTTTAATTACAAAATTGTTCAATAATTTTCATACAAAATGTTTCTGTGCCAAGGTAATGATTATGGTGATGGCATTAATGCAATGACGGGGGAGCATACTGCCTGCATACTAAATTTTTAATAGTTTTGTTATAATTAATGGAGAAGAATTAAGGTTTCTAGCAGCTTAGATGGTTAGGAGCTTTTCTAACTCATGATTGGCTTCTGACACACTAGGCATGTGGATTCCTTTGAAGAGCAAGGAAACACATCTTTACACTGCAGTCGGTCATCATGATGGACAGACTTCATCTGGACTCAGTAACGATGTCATCTTGCTCCACTGCAATTTATCCAGTATCTTCTCTGGCCATATTATTCTGCTTTTAGCTGCTTCATGATGTGCCTCTGTGTGACTCAAGGTAACGCTGTAAGTGAGGTGCTGTGCCACGTACTACCCCAAGGTTAATATGACATCCTTCATATAATTTCCTAATTAATATTTTAAAAAGGAAATTGGTGTGAGACAGGGTAATGGTCTCCTCTGTTCTGACTCCTGTGCCCTGGGTCTCAGCTGACGAGGGAGATGTGTTCAAGGAATCTGCCTCTGAAAAAGCAAGGGCAGGTCTGAAAGTTTCCCAGCACATTTGGACAAGGAGCAACCAAGGAGTTTGTCACACATCATCCATGCCACCACCTCAGTTTGACCGAGTATCTCGACAGCTGCAGAAAGGCCGTACAAAAAGGGCATAAAATTATTCTTGTGTGCTCTAATTTGATAGCGATGCAGTCATGTGCCTCCCTTGATCCGGGGGGGGTGAGGGGAAGTAGTCCAATTCGATCTCTAATTGAGATGGTGGTCATGATCTCCCACTGCCACCTTTACCTTTCCCCCAGTTACTGCAAATTTTTGTTGACTTTATGACTTACGCAGCAGCTGTCTGGTTTTCAGCTGGTTTTGGCACCTCCTGGGGTGGGATGTTCCTTATTATCACCCTTCTGTTCTTCTTCAAGGGTATATTAATTAGCCAGGCATTTATTGTTTATATTAAGTGTCTGGTTTCACAGGGCCTTGTGACTTTTTCACAGCTCTTTATTGTTACCTAGTGAGAGATTCTACCTTCTAAAATATATTTTACCTTTTTAAAAGTACCTTCAACCTTCTTTAAGTATATCACTTCCACTTTGCAGTCATTACCCCTCGTTCAATCACTACATGCCCTTGTAAAAAGCCCCTCTCCAGCTTTCCTGTAGGCCCCCTTTAGGGACTGGAAGGCCATTATAAGGTCCCCCTGGAGCCTTCCTTTCTCCAGGCTGAACAACCCCAACTCGCTCAGCTTGTCCTCAAAGGAGAGGTGCTCCAGCCTTCTGATCATCTCCGTGGCCCTCCTCTGGACCTTTTCCAACAGGTACATGTCCTTCTTGTGCTGAGGACTCCAAAGATGGATGCAGTACTCCGGGTGGGGTCTCAGAGGCCAAGAGCTTCCTCCTAGGACCTTCCCCATGGATCTCGCAGGGTCACTGCAGCTCAGGGTGTCATGGCAGGGAGACGGCAGGAAGCGAAGGGTGATGGCATGGAGGGCACCCACACAGGTGATCCTCCTGACAGCTGCTGGGGCAGGGACAGAGCTGCTGGCAGAAGCAAAACTCTGTGTTTTAGCAATGTGTCTTCCCAAGGACAGGAGGAAACCCTGCCCTGCAGAGCCCTGGGGGGACGCTGTGCTGTAAAGGGAGACCCAGCAGCACCTGGGCCTGTGGTGAAACCTGGAGCCACCACCCTGCAGACACAGGTCCAGTCAGGGCAGGAGGCCACAGTGGAAAAGCACTGGAGAGGTGGCTCTTCCCTTCCACTGACCTTTTTTTTTAACCAATTTTAAATGGCATAATTCCTCCCACAAAAACACGAAAAAGCAACCACATCCTGCAGACACATGGAACTCTAGGAGGGTTGTGGTGATCTGTTTCTAAGCCTCGCGAAGACACTTAGGCCAGCTCAGACATTATGCAGGAAGTGGACGGAGCAGGTAGGGTGGGTGGGAAATTAGTTTGGGGGGTTTTTATAAAAGGGATCTCATCAATCCTTACAAATAGCTAAAGGGTGGGTGTCAAGAGGATGGAGCCAGACTCTTCCGTGGTGGCCCAGCGACAGGATGAGGGGCGACAGGATGAGGGGCGACAGGATGAGGGGCGACGGGCACAAACCGCAAGACTGGAAATTCCAGCTGAATGTGAGGAACAATTCCTTTACCCTGAGGGTGGCAGAGGCTGCCCAGGGAGGCTGTGGGGCCTCCTTCTCTGGAGCTATTCAACACCCGCCTGGATGCCACCCCGTGCAGCCTGCTGCAGGGGAACCTCCTTGGGTGCCATGGGGGAACCATCCCCTCAGGCCCCTTCCAGCCCTCCCCTTCTGAGGCGTTAGATCCAGTCTACGGCCTGGGCGTGCCTTCACAACGCGGGGCGCTGCAGCATGGCCCCGAAAGCGAGAAGCACCCCTTTGCCCTCGCCAGTGTTGTCCCAGGCGCCGCCGAGCGGCAGCGGCCCCTCCGGAAACGCTCTGTCTTTGGGACGCGGGTAACTAAGGGTCGGGCAGATCACGGCACCCGGGCATCCCGCGAAGTAGGCGGGGCACCTGGGGGCGACCTGTACCCGCGCAAAAATTCCTCTCACATTGGCAGTGAGGACCCGGGCGTCACCCCGGGTCGTTATTTTCCTTACTCATAAGTTTAAGGCATAACGGCTCAATCTCCCCGCCGTTGACACAACCTTGTGCGTTATTTCTCAGTGTCAGGGTGAGCGGCTTCCCCGTGAGCCGCTCCGCGCGCACACGTTAACTGACTGTTTTCTTCACTGTTCTGCCCGGACTCCTTCCGCCTAACGGCCGCCGCGGCCCGAACCGGGCCGAGAGGTGCCGGGGGTTTTATGTAAATGAGGTGGCCCGAGCACCGCTGGGGGTTGTGGGACGCCCGCCCCGCCCCGCCCCCGCGAGACGCTCTCGGGCGGGGCCGGAGGCGGGGCCTGCCCGACTCCCCGAGGCGGGGCGAGGAGCGGAAGAGGTATGATGTCATCTCCGTGTCCTGCTGGCTGCGTCTTGTCGTTGGGCCCCGCGACAAGATGGCGGACATCTCTCTGGACGAGCTTATACGGAAACGCGGTGTGACGGTGAAAGGGAGGTAAGCGGCCGAGGAGAGCGGCACCCCGGGCCTAGCGACCGCCGGTGGCTCCTCTGTTCTTCCTTCTGGTGGTTCCGCTCCGGAGGCGGTGGGGCGCAACCTGCCTCAGCGCGGCCCAGCCCTGTTCCCTGCTTTCGCCTCCCCATTGGCTTAGGCCTTGCTCTGCGGGGCCGTGCCGCTGATGCAGATTGGTGCTGGTGGCTGTCGCTCAGGGGTGGGGCGGGGGTCTGTCCCCCCACTTCTCCCTCCTTTCCTCCGCTCACTCTCCCCCCGCCCGGTGCCTGGTGCTGCCCGGTGGGCTCTTGCCCCGGCGGGGCCGGGCCCACCCATACCCTCTCCCCCTGCTCTTCTGGGTTTTCCCGAGATTCGTGGCAGAGCCTATCGCCTCACCAGTGCCTCCGTCCTGCTCCTCCTTGTCGCTTAACCCAGTGGTGCTCCCTAAGCCGCGGTCAGCAGGCGCCCCTCGGCGCCCCCCACCCCCGAGCATCCCCTCGGTATCTGGGAAGCCCAGGAGCTGCCGTTGGGCTGCAGCTCTCCGTCAGGCTGTACCCTGGGGGTAGCCGGTCCCCCCGCGTCTCCCGGGAGCGGCGCGTTGATGGGCGGCACGGTGCATTGTGGGATAACCGTGGGAGGTGTAGTTGTGCCACGGGGAGCCGTAACTGTAGCGAAGCCGATGGGGATCCGCGCAGGCGAGGCTTCGGGCTGCAGTGGCTTCATCAGCGTTGCTGCCCGGCCCTTGGAAACTGTAGTCTCTGTAGCGTAGTTAACGCTACCCTGACAGATTGTTTGAAACGCTTATGCGGATGTGGAGTGTGTTACATATTCGCTACAAGATTAGACTTTTTCTTTGTACGGCAGATGTTTCCAGCGTAGGCTAGGCCGTTTACTCTAGTGCAGCTGCTGGCAGTTCTTAGATGGTAGCTTTTTCTCTTTCCTTTTGCTATAGTCTCTTGATGCTGTCCATGGATGTCTCCCCATCTGTGTTATAGCTAATTGTATTCCCTCTTTTGTTGTTTTGTATATATTTTTAATTCAGTGATCATCGGGGAATCTTAGGTTTTAACTCTGAAAGTCTACACTTGCATATCCAGAGTTGTATTTTGAAAGTTATCTGCTAACGTATACATGCAGAACATTCAAACATATTTAAATCCTAGTCTAGACAAGGCATTGGCTTTGCGCTTTCATTGATGTTATTCTGCATATTTGGAACAGTCTTATGCTGCTTAGTATGCCAAGCACCTCCTTTCTCCTTTTTCAAATCCCTTCTTAACTCTCACTTCTTCCAGGAATTCTTCCTGCTTTTATTTGCTGAACGATAATCCTTCTGCAGCACTGTACGAATTTTTGTGCCTTGCATTTCTCTTGTTTGTCCCATTTAGCTCACTTTATAAGATTTCTTGAGTTAGCTAACTTGACTTTGTGAAGGCTGGATAAACTGAATAAACTTAAATTATTATATTCATGCTGTTCAGTAGTTTAGATGAAATAGCAGAAAAATCTTCACCTATAAAATGTACTAATCCACAAAATATTGAAACCAGAACATGGAATTCTGGAAAGCAAATTACATGTTTGAGACTTCCCTTCTATTTCAGGTGCTCTGGCACAAAATGCCAAAAGAGTTAATACTGTTATACGATAAGCAATTCTCTACAGCAGGGAGTTGCTTATTGGGATAAACACAAGTCTTCAGAGACAGTATAATCTTCAGTACAGAGTTTCCTAACCAATTTCATTAGTCCATGTCATCAATAGTTTTAACTAATTCTGGCTTAAGTGCTAATACAAATGTTTCTGGTTTTACTTTGACCTCTCTTATGCTCATCAAAAAGAGACACTCATCAAGCCCTTGTGCAGCACCTTTCAACATAGCTAAATTAATACTTTTTAAAATTGCAAGGTAAGTCTTCTTGTGCAGCTGCTGCTTTATGGGTACTGTTAGTCCTCTGTATTATTCTGGATATATTTTAATAAATGGTCTTAATAATACTCCTGTTTCTTCTAGCTACTGTGTTTTGGCTGTATGAGAGAGCAGCCATAAGATTCTTAGTTTGGTAACAAAATGGGACCCCAGTCCTACCTCTTCAGTTTTCTGGACACAAGAATGAAAGAGACAGAAGTGGAAGTTCAGTCTTTCATCTCTTTCTACAGAGCTCTTCACTGAAAGTACATGCCTGTAAATCATGTTAAGATTGTGAGTTTAGATCAGGAAACACTGATATAAAGCTGTAGGAAGAATTACATTGTCATTTAAATGTGTGATGTTAGCCTTTTGAGTATTCCAACAAATTATAGATACCTACTTTTAGACTTTATAATACTGGATAGTACATCACAGAAACCAGATTAACACTGTAACTCTCTAGCTTATTCTGAATTCTAAAAGACAACAGCAAGAATATTTTTTTATTTAGTACCTTAACTTTAAAATTTCTCTTACCACTTTGTCATCTTAAAAAACACCAACCAGCAACAAACCCAATGGAAAAAAAGAAAACTTTAAATTATACTTAAAGGAGGAACTGTATTAAAGATTAGATAAGCTGTTTCATTTTAGGGGAGACTTTGAAAAAGTGAATCAGACTTGTAGCAAGAAGCTAGTTTTAGCATTCACTACATAAGGGGCTGCTTCTTCGTAATACTTTTTTACGAGTACAAATACCGTCATTTCTGTGGGCTGTTATGTTTCTGTGCTCAGTATTGTGATGTTGATGTGCTTGAAAAATAAAGGCCATCGAGTGCAGCAGTTCGGTTAGTAGATTAAAGAGGGGATGGTGAAGTAATTTGGCTGTTAAATATTCTTGCTGGCAGTCAAGTTGTGGCTTTGAACTGAGATTGGTACTGGTGCTTGTACATCCTACAATCCAAGCCTCTACACTCCCACAATTTTGAACTTGCTGCCCAGAATTCTTGGAATCACATCTAGTTCCATGTTTCCTTTGTATCAGGACATATTCTCGTATTACAAAAGATGCTTTAGGTAGACCTGCTTAGTCCTAAAGCTAGAAATTCTGTTTGTGTTCCTCTTTGTCTTCAAAGGTTTCCCCGAAGTACCTAAGTTGTTGATGAATTTTCTTTAAATGTAGTATGGACTTAGCACAGCTGAAGTCAGACCCTTTACTTAAGTTTGTAAATATGAGCTTAAGGATGGATTTTGGAAATCGATTACTTAGCTGTTTATGTAGAGAGTAAAATCCAGCATAAGACAGCTTAGGAGCTCTACTGTTGTATTTGGACATCTAACTTGAGTGGATTTCTGTGCAGTAATAATAAGCTTTTGTTTGTAGCAACACAAATACTTTTATTGATACTGTATCACATCTTGGAATGTCTGAAACTTTCTTTTCCGTCCCCCCAGGCTTAACACAAGGCCAGTGTTTGGAGGTGTAAGATCTCGCATTGGGGTCCAGCAAAATATTCTAAACAGATCATCACCAACTGTCGGCTTCCAGCGGACATTTGATGCTCGACAGAAGATCGGACTCACGGATGCCCGACACAAACTGGGGGTTAAAGATGCTCGTGAAAAACTTGTTCAAAAGGACGCTCGGTTCAAAATCAAAGGGAAGGTGCAAGATGCTCGAGAGATGTTGAATTCCCGTAAACAGCAAAATGTTGCTGCTGAAAAGGTGACCAAAGTGGTGGATGCCAGAGAGAAGATCAGCTTAAAAAGGAGTGCTCCAGCTACTATCAGTCCAACTATGGGAACAGTAAATCCAGCCGTGAAAATCACCAAAACTATCCAAGTAGGTGAAGCAAGTCACCTCTGAGCCCCTCAGTTATTCTGCAGCAGTCCAGTAGAAATGATAATAGATGAATATGTTCACATGTTTATAATGGAAGTGATGGTGATGCAGTTCAGTCCAGCCTGTAGGGTGGGATTCAGAGTCTTTTGGGTGTCCTTCTGGCTGCTTGGGGCTTTTTGTAGAATCCCAGTTTTCATTTAAAATTTAATTTGAATTTTGGGCCCAAAGACTAAAGCAGCACTCCTGTCAGCATTAAAGTAGTTGTCTTGAATGGTTGAGTAGTCTCTTTCCCAAAGAAAGTCCCATTCCAAAGAAAATGTATGGATTTTTTTTTCATTTTTATACTACCCCTCTTTGCAAGTCTGATGTGGATTGTCCTGATAGCTCTATATTCTAAACTATTATCCCGCTATGAGGATAAACCAGCTATGTTTGTGTCCAAGAAGATCTGAAATTCAATTAACTCTTCTACAGTTTCTCTATTTCTACTTCTCTGGCTTTCAGGAAAGCCCTGGCGTCCAGGGAGTTGCCTTGATAACACGATTCATTACTGCTGAGGCTCAAGGTTTATTTCAATTGCAGCATAATCAGTTGATCACCCTAACCTGGTCGGTTCCTTTGACAGTTTTTTAATTTCACTTTCCGGTGTGCCCAGTACCTTGATTCTTAGTAGACTTGTCTAAGAAACAACTACTATTGAACTATGAGTGTGTTAGGTATAGTGGGAAGAATGATCAGAGAAGTTTCCAGATTGTTTGGGGGGTTGTTTGAGGAGTGGTTTTGTTCCTCATCTTTACAAGCAGATAACTGAAGTTCCTAGCCTACCTCTTTCGTTTTCCTCCTCCCAGAGATCAAGTGTGCTTACATATACCCAGAAAATCTCTTACTCTCATCAGTTTGAAAGCATAGATGAGTCTGCTTTTGGTTCAGCTGGGCTTCTTGCTCAAGAGCATCGAGCATATTTCTTCTTTAAATTAGCCTAGGAAATTTCCTATTACTTGGCAGGTTTCCTGCCAGGCTGACCTAAGAAAGAGAAAGGACTCTTGTGGCAGTAAGAAGGGCTAATCGCGGAGCAATAGAGCAGTCTGTTCAGTAGTCTTTAATTAGTAGGGTAATTAGTACTCATGCTGTCCTTCTAAGCCAAATCATCACCATCAGCCATTAGGAATTGAACATTTTCTACAAAGTTTGTAGGAGTTAAAATAGTTTCCAGTGACTTAGTACACTGGCAATTTGCTCTGACCTGATTTTTTTTTTTTTCAGTATGACTTGGTTTGACCTACAGTACTTTCAGTTTGTTAGACAACATAGTGCAAGGAAAAATATTGTAGAATATAACGGTGATTAAGACTGTAGGCAAAACTCTGCACATGAGCAATTATCTAATAATTTTTTAAGGATCTGTACCAAAATTCCAAATTGGCCATGGTCCTCCTCTCTTCCCAAATGAAGGAGCAGAATCAAACTAAAGGATCTCGATTGAGATGTAGCACGTATCTCCAGCGTCTGGTACTGTGGTCTTGTTTCTTATAATGGAAGAGAAAAAGTCTTTGAAACCTAAAGAATTTCCGTAGCTCTGCTGGTGTTTCCGTAGGACAGCTACCCTTGTATCTGAATTGATTAGCAAATTGAAACATGAGAGTGCTGTGGTGTAAGTTACAATCTGGAGTGAATGCAAATCTGAAGATTTTACTGCCTGTATGGAGTATTTTTATAAGAAGATGAATTCTTTTGTGTAATGGACAGCTTCCAGCTTTCTCAAAAAACAAAAGGGCGTATTTGATGGAGTTGCTGCCTGATTTCAGTTGTTGATTAGCACAGCTGCGTACCTTGACAACTGCTGCTGTGGTTTCCCTGTTTCACAGGATAACAGTGCAGAAGGGTCAGCTACACTACCTACCCCATGCACCACTTATTCCACTGCACCTTGTTTCAGCTTTTTGGTGAAGGGACAGTGTATATTTCTGCTTTGAAATGGAACTGAACTAAATTGTGCTGTGACCCATTTCCATCAAACTTGAGAAGCTGGGAATCTGGTTCTCTGTAACATGAAAGAAGAGAAGCTTACTGGCTGATTTACCCTGTTCATGGTTTCATACTGGCAGAAACGTAGTTAGTCAGTGCTGGCAGGTCTGGAGCTAAGTACCCTTCCCACTAATCTTGGATTAAAACTCAAGTAATTTGAATCAGTTTCTCTGCGTGGCCCTATGTTTTAATTTCTTTGCTTAAGTGAGGCTGTCTCATATGTAGCATATTACAGGAAACATAGATGTTCTTTCATAACGTATTGTGATAATGTGTTTCAAGAGCAGGAGGGTCGGTTTTATTTAAGTGGTCTCAACGTATCAACAGCTCCAGTCTTCTGAAATGGGAATCTGATGGACTAGCATTTAATGCTTTGGTTCCTTCCCTCTAACTGTAGCAGAAGGCTCCCGTTCCTGGACACTCTCATCCAGCGGGAATGAGGATCAACGTCGTGAACAACCATACACACAAACAGGTGGGAGCCCACTCCGTGTTCTTTGTTACCTTTAGGGGGGGAAGGAGGGTGTCCATAAAGATTGGCAGGTGCAAAGAAAACTGCAAGTAGGAAAGAAAAGAGGGGTGTTTGGAAGTTCTCCAACAGCTTAGCTCCCTGTTCTCATGTGGTTGAGTTACTTTCATGGTAATTATGGTTTTCATTTAGATTAATTGATCTTGATTCCTTGTGTGTTACATGAATGCCATAGGCATTCCCAGTTTTTATCTGTCTGCGTTAATGGTTTTTTTCTAGAGACTGTGACCTTTAGCTCTGATGTCTTTCTGTAAATTTCTCAGTGACACCACATCATATCAAGTTGTTGGTTGTTTTGATTCGCCATCCTGCCAGCCTCTTCAGAGAATGGATATGATTGTACATGGTCAAATGTTCTACAGTGAGGTGGGAGAGGGTATAACCTTCTTGTGAAATCCCAGCTGGGGGTCCCTGCTGGGAACCTGGTAGTGAATTATGTTAACCAGTATTCTGATGCACTATCAAAGTTGCCATATCCCTTATCAAGCACTTTGAGGAAAAACCTAAAATTGTGCTTTCTCTTCTGGGATCAATTTTAAAGGCCTTTGTCACAGCCCCCAGCCATTCAGCCACCTTATCACCTTGGTGCTTTCAGAGAGGAATTACACATTTTTATTACTTTATTTTGTATGTGTATACATAAAGCATTACATGAAATATTGGAAAACTGACATTCCCAACATCATTTCCTGGGTGGTTTTTTTTTTGCCTCAATTATGGTAACTTTAGCTATTTGTGTATGTTACCTCTACGTTGACCTGCTGCCCTCACCTATCCCAGATGATGTCACTTAAGGAAGTGTCTTCATTATTCTGACCTCATCGCTATAAGACTTGAATCCATTTCATTTGTCTCAAACTCAAGTCCATTGTCCTGATGGTTAGCGTTTTTCCCAGTTCTTTTCTGCACAATTCTCCTGTTCTACTGTCCCTTTTGGGTTTTTTCCTTCATGGCATTTCTGTGACTGGAACAACTTTCCTGTTTGTAGACCAGAATCTTTTTGACTACAAGAACCTACTTATTTTTCAAGTTCTCATTGCATTCCCTCTGTTTTTCTTCGCCTTTCTACTGAATTCATGGGAGGCTACTCTGAGTTGTGATTTATGTTCTGGGCAGTGCTGTATGTGTATAGGCTTTTTCTTAATGTTATTTAGAGACTATGAGACAATATTTGTGTAGGAGTTTGCCTCAGTATTTTAAGGTAGGACTATGAGTGTTAAGTTGAACTAGGAAATTAATTATTCATTCAGTAAACCTCCTAGTGCAGTGTTTTCTAGTGCTAGACCAGTATGTGCTGTGCTGAGGAAAGCAGGCTATTCAGAAGGAATGTCTGTATCGGATGTATTTGGCAAGTATCTGCTTTTTTTTTTTTTTTTAATTATTATATGCACAGGCTTCAACTTTAAAGGTAGCGGAGTGCTAAAAATTAAAACAATGAGGCTTTATTCCATTAATGTGGTTTCATCAGCCCTGATGAGGTCTAGGGATTAGAGAAATCTGTGTGTTGTTTCAGTACCCCTAGGGAAACAGCTTTACTGTGGCATTTGTTGAAAAGAAGTTTGATAGTTTATACACACATGTTTTGAAATGGATTTGCATATCTTCAGCTTTGTGTCCCCAGGCTGCAGGGACCAGGAGTAAAGTCCAATGTAGTCATGTTCCATTACCTGAAAGAGGCTGAAGGCAGGGGAAGAGTACTTATTGTAGTTTGGAAATTATGTCTAGATTAAATTCACCTGCTTGTAAACTGTCACCTTGCTTCTCTTCAGGGTCTGTATGACGTGGAAGATGATGATGAAAGTGTCTCTCCCCTTGCTAGCAAACAGATGAAAATCACCACCACAAACAGTTTCCTGCACAACGCGGTAAGGGATTATCTGAACAGTCCCCACCACGCCATGCTCACTTTGGGTGGACACACAGGCTGCGGCTTTACAGGGCTTATATTCTTTTAAAGTATGTAAACGATGCTTTCTCCTGAAATGTTTGCTCTTCACCCCATCCTTCCCTTTGTGCCAATGCTTCTAGTGTTCTTTTGGGGACAGAGTCCCTTTTAGGCTAACTGTGGTTTTATAGGCCTTTTTGCTGGCAGAATGTGTGCTTTCTCCCTTGCTGGCAGGTGGCTGCATGTTGGCTCTTGACTTTCTTCTTAGGCAAGTGCTTTGAACCTATCTTGTTATTGTTTGAGCAGGTGAGCAAGGGAAGCTTTCTGCTGCTTCTAGAGGCTGGACATCAAAGCAGGAAATGTCTTGCCATGCAAAAATCTTAGCTGGCAGATTGTTGAGGAATACTGATGCTCTGGAGAAGATGAAATTTCCACACAGACAAATGTTGAGGTCCTGTTTTTGGGATGGGATAACCTTCTGTGTCTTAAGTGAAGAACTGACTGGCTAGGAAGCGGCTTTGTAGGAAAGACTGTGGGGGTCCTGCTGGGTGATGTGCTAAGAATGAATTAGCAGTGCATCCTTGCAGCAATGAAGGCCAACTGTAGATTGTGTATTAGTAGGATCATAGCTAGCAAATAAAGGAAGATAATTATTGCTATCTGTTTGGCATCTTGAGAATGCATCTGTACTACTGTGCCTATTTTGGGGCTCTGTGATACAAGACAGACACACACAGACTGGAACTAATACAACAGGATGGTCAGAGTGCTGAGGAGAGTGTGAGTGAGCAATGTCTCTTAAGGCTGAGAAGAGAAGGCTGTAGTGAGATCTGTCTACACATTCACTGCCTAGTACATGGTCATGGAAGAGGCAAAACCCAGGTCCTTTTCAGGAGTGAACAGGGAGAAGATCAACTAACAAATGTGTTGCAGCAAAAGAAACTCTTGTTAGATATGGGGGGAAGAGTTGTGCAATTCTCAAGGTATTAGTCAGCCTCTGGCACAGGGACTCAGAGAGGTTGTGAAATTTCCATTGTCAGAGGTGTTAAAACTCCAGAGTTAAACTGGATGAGGCCCTGAGCCAATCTGGTGTGTCTTTGAAGTTAGCCCTGTTTCAGACATTGTTACCAAAGCATATCCTTGAAATCATTAGTAGTGACTAATGTTGAGAGACCATGTGTACAAACTCACAAATAAGGAGGATTCTATCCTTGAGTCTGTCAAGGATGATTAGTGAAAGAACTCCTAATCAAGGAAAGCAAGTATTGTTAATGTTCTTGAGGCAGAACATCCTGGGACACATGAACATATGGATCTTGAGAGTGCTACTAATCAACGTGTTTTGGAGAGTTTAGACAACTTGTCAAGATAATGAAGATTTAGAATCTCCTAAGATGAATTACCTTCATTACTATACTAAAAATCATGCCCACAGATCAAGATGACCCTAGCCCAGATGAAGACCATTCCCCTGAGCATGTGTATTAGCTGTAGCTTGATTGTGCAACCATATGTAAATTGCTAACCAATCAAATATAGGCAGGAGGTACTAATATGGTAATGATGTTGTAAAATGTGTATATGAACCATGTAGAAAGTCACGTTTAGAGTGCTTGATTTGTGGGAAACCGCTGAGCACCCCAGCCTTGTGCAACTCTGAAATAAATAATCGATGTCTCATCCTGGTGTGTAAGATTGGCTGTTGCACACTGGGCAAGGAATCCTGTTTTTCGGAAAACAACATGAGGGGTGGACATGAGTTTGTCCTAAACTATTCTGTGGTTCTAAGAAAGCAAATTAATGTGGTTTTGCCATCACCCAGGCAGTTTAGTGCAATGATTATCCCATATTTTTTCTTATATGGGTGTTCAGAATAGAGTTCCGCACCACTTATGATCCTTAAAATCAGCCTTATGGTTTTTTGCAGGAGTAAATGTGTTATCTCCAGTGTTCACAGCAGCTGCCAAGCACATGGTTTTTTTTGGCTTTAAACTACCCAGATAGTTCCAACTAGGAAGGTTATGCTCCGTGTCTTTGTGTGCCCTAGCTTGGGGTTTCTGAAGAACTATTGCTGTTTGTGCTGGAGCAGCTCAATCTTAATGAGCAATCTTTGTATACACTTTGTAAAGTACTTGAAAATCTTTGGATGAAAGGAACTTTCCAAATTCAAATTGCACTGGTAAAATTGATTTAAGAAGGATATAAAACTAAAAGCTGCTCATTAGTGAGGGAAGTGCTCTTTTGGGATAAGCATGCCTGGAAACTTTAGTTGATTTTTGTCTCAAAGCTGAGAGTTTCTAGCACTGTAGTGGTTTTGACACCAGGAGGGACATGCAGTTCTTAGTGCGTGCTATTAATGCTCTCCTGCTGGTGGTGCTTGAAGAAAGGGATTACTTTTGTAGCCTGTAGTTCTCAGAGATACTTTATTCTTTTTCTTTCTTTCTTTCTGTAGACTGGGCTGAGTGGCAATAAATTCTCCCTGGCCAAGACTGTTCCCCTGACTAAAGTGGTACAGAACGATACGTACACAGCTCCACCGGCACCTCCCTCTCCTATGCGGACGAAGGCCTTGACAAACATGTCCCGGACCTTAGTGACAAAGGAGGAGCCTTCAAAAGAACCAGCACCTGTTGAGGTGAGATCAGGGAAGTGGGAGATGCTTTTTATAGAAGTCTCTGAAAACATCTGAAATTTGCTGTTCATCAGTTATGCAAGCAGCTCATTTCTGCCTGCCTTCTACCACTATCTTTGTGATTCTTTCAAGCTTATTCTGGATAACTGCAGCCCATGTCCCAAGAATTCGAAAACTGTCTAAACATACTTTTCTTCAGCATTTGAGAGACTGGGAATTCTCAGTTAGTGCATCTTGCTTCTCTTAACTTTATCTAGCATGGGAGTACATGGTCCTGGAGCAATCCATGTTAGAGGGAGGTAGCAGTTGTTGTTTTGACACTCCGTGGAGGCTTCTATGTCTCTAGGAATAGTGTTTTAGCACTACTAGTTATGTTGTCTTCTGTCCACTCATGTTAGCAGGGAGAAAAACAGGATTCTTCCCAATACAGCTTCTTGCTGTCCACACCAGACCTCCCTGGCAATTTGTAGACATCCTGCCTGGAATTGCTTTGCCAAACTGCCTGGTGCTGGGTACAGGTAACCCACCAGGCATGCTGAGTTCAACGTGATTTTGAGGGGCTCAAGCCATGCTTTTGGGGTTTGATGGCTGGTGGAGGGTGCAGCAGAGAAGCACTTAAAAGTGTGGGTGTGATCAGACAGCACTGTGTATGTGTGCAGAGTGAGTTAGTGTTATACTTGGGAATGAAAAAGAAGAGTTACTTCAGAGAGAAATTAGCATGGAAAAGGGGCTTCTTTTCATCATCAGATGAGCTGGGCTTTTGTAAGCATTGATATTTCCATTTACTAGCTGTAGCTCTTGCCTTTGTGTGTGTACAGGCTTTCCCAGACATCCCTTTAGTGGCTTTTTCTTTTTTTAACGCTTTCTCTGCTGTGGTCTTTTGCTTGCTGCGTTTCTGACCTTTTTTATATGATGCATTTCTTTGTGTTGGCAGCTGGCGTTCAGTCCTTTGGAAGGCACAAAGATGACGGTGAACAATCTGCACCCTCGAGTCACAGAGGAAGACATTGTTGTGAGTGTTATTTACTACCAAACTGTGGATAAGTGTCGCTTCCTTCCCTTAACCTACCTCTTTTGATAAATTACTTGGTCTATGGTGAATGCAACAAAGAGGAGTATGATGTGGGTTTGCTTTCCTTGCAAAAGCTTTGAAAGTTCCTGATTATTTTTTTCTGTCACTTTGATTTTTTTGTTCGATTATTTTAAAAAGTGTGTGCTTAAGAAGTTGGTACAAAACAGTGTTTCTAGGGTGTACTGAAGTACCTGGCATCACTTAGAAGAGTTCATGCCAAATCGTGCTTGGTGTTGTCCTCGAATCCAAATTATCTAGGCGTTTGCATTCTCAGCAGGCTGAGAACAAGCCTGGTCTTCATGTGTGACAAACAGCATAGAGTACTGGCCTTGAACTTTTCTGCTTGTGTGGGCAGCTGTATGGAGCTTTGTGCAACCTAAGTGTATTACTAATGCAGAGTACTCATACTGTAGCAAACACAAAATGCAACAAGTGGCGAGATTTTTTTTGTATTTACTAAGCAGGATGGAGGGGTTCAATTAGGAAGCTAAGCCTTTCTCGCTCAGAGTCTTTGGCTGAAGTGGTACCTTTGATGTGACCATGGTCGTGACTAACTCTCTGCCCTCAGGAGTTGTTCTGTGTGTGTGGCGCGCTGAAGCGAGCCCGGCTGGTGCATCCTGGAGTGGCTGAGGTGGTGTTTGTGAAGAAAGAAGATGCGATCACAGCATATAAGAAATACAACAACAGGTGCTTAGACGGTAAGTTTGAGGCCGGAGTTGCGTTTAGGATAGATAAACCAACAGAGACTTATCTACCTCAGCAGAGAGTTTAAAAGCATCTCAGGTGCTCGTATGCTACCAGGAGGGAGGAAATACCAGAAAATAATTTCAAGAGCTAGACAGTGCAATACGCTGCCGTGTAACTAGCTGAATATATGCACAGTTTATTTAAGGGAAATTCAAAGAAATGCTTTCCTAGAAAGGGAATGCTCAAAGCTAGAGGTAGGGTCCTGATGATGCCTCTGATCTAACTTCCAGATTAAATTTCTTTTGTTTCTAATCCAGTGCCGAGAGCTGGATAGTCTTTTAGGAAGGCTTTACCTGCTTACAGAATAGCTGTTTGCGAAGTACCACTAGAACTAACATTTGCAAAACTCTCAAGCTGTGGTCAGAGGCATTTTGAATCAGACCTGTAAAACAGTTAATATCAGCTTCTCCATAAACTTTGAACAATTCAATTGTTCAATTGTCAACAATTCAACAATTCACTGGGTCCACCTGCAGTGTTGTCATAGGCTGAAATTAGCTGTTAATTTTTAGCTGGAAATAGCTGTTTTTCTTTCTCTAGGTGAGTGACATGTTACGAATGTCAGATGAGGAGCAGACAGCTGAGAATGGGAGATTCTTTTCTGTCTCTACTAAGAGTTTTGTACCTATATGTAATTTGTTAATTAGTGTGAGTCCTCGTATGGTACTGAGTATTTCAGTGGCTCTTCCGTTACTGTGATTTTTGCAACAAAAGATGTATCAGCTGATCTCTGTCATGTTTCCCCAGCATGTGGGACTCGTTTGCACTGATGTGTGGTATTTGTGGGGTCTTGCCTTACCATGATTCTGATGTAAGGACTTCTTTATTGTGCTTGCTTAGGTCAACCGATGAAATGCAATCTTCATATGAATGGGAATGTCATCACCTCAGACCAGCCTATATTGCTGTAAGTCTCCTTCAGGGGGAAAAGAAACAAATACGTTTGCAGGGGCAACACCAAGAACAGTGAATACAGACATAGTCTTAAATTTTATTTCATAATGAGAGGTTAAATACCGCTTTTTTCTTTCTTTCTTTTTAATCCTCCAGCCGATTGAGTGATACCCCTTCAGTGAAGAAGGAAGGGGAGCCACGCCGGGCAAGTGCAAGCGCCTCCTCAAATCCCCCAGCTGAGGTGGACCCTGACACTATCTTGAAGGCACTCTTCAAATCCTCAGGGGTCTCTGCCTCTGTGCAGCCTACAGAATTCAAAATTAAACTCTGAGAAGGGAAAGCAAAGCAGTGGACTGGAAAACTCAATTTAAGTTGGGGAACGAGAAAAGTGCAGGGGTGCAGATGTTATTTGCATTTGCCTGCCTTGAAATCTTTTGTTTTCTATGATCGCTACCTTACTGTACAATAGTGTTTCCTCTTGTGTGTGTACTTTCTGTTTTCATAGTTGGAGTTTTCTTCCATGATTTTTTTTTTCTTCCGAAAAGAGTAACCTCCCCCTTCTGCCAGTAATGTATTACCAAGCATATTACCATGTAACTCCCTCCTTTATTCCAAACCCCCTAGTGGCCATTAAAAGTGCACATAGACTTTGAGGGAAGGAGTGGTGATCTCCTTCTCATTTCTTCTTCTGACTGACCTTTAACTTAAAGGTGCATCCCCTTGATTATCAACAGGCAAGAACACCGCATTGTTTCTGAAATTGCTGCGCTGGGTACAAAGTCAGCTGTGGCTCCATGTCGGAAACACCATCTTGCATCTGGGACTTTGATGCATTCGGTGGCACGCTGCTTTGTTCTGGCTGTTGGATGTTTTTTGCTCAGCAGCTGTGACACTGAGAAGAAGTGTGGAAAAACTGAGCTTCCTGCTGTGTATACCAGCCAATGGAGGCATCAGGCAGAAAGAACGTATGCACGAGCGCACCATCCATGGTGCTATGGCAGGGATGCTTTAGCTCTGGTAATGCAGAGAGGTATGGGGGGGAAGTCTCTGGCATTTGTACAATGGATATATTAGCCTTGTAGGGTCAGGCTCAGTTGTTCTTGTCTCTCTGGACTGAAAAATAAGAATTTGTGTTCAGAGCTAGAGGAAATCCAAGTGTTTCACTCCCATTAAACTGTATTGCATCCTCCTGCTGATGCAGGGACTTTTTTTTTCCTTACTTCCTAATTTACCCAGTCTCCTATAAAAAGGAAGGAGCTGGGGCCTTTTTCAGATACTAATATGTAGGAAGCAGTCTTTTCTTGCTCCCGAGAACTCACTTCTTTGAGAGATGTCATTTGGGCAATGTTTGGCCGCTGTACGGGCATGCTGCTCGCATGCGTGGGTTTGGAGGGTGATTTCTGCACTTCATGGCTTGGAGGGGAGAGCAATTAGTAAGTACTCTGCGAGGAACACATAGGAGAGGAATGTTAAGCAAGTCCCATGCAGAAGCAGCAAGGATGTACCTCGGGCCAGTGGGCATCTGTGACGAGCCAGAGGCCACTAGGTGGCACCTCCAACATCTCCTTTGTTAGTACAGCGATATTGCCATGGATGTTAAGTCCCCGTAGCTCCGTTCGTTTGTGTTTGTTCCAATTGTAGTATAAGAGAGGAAAGCTAAGAGCCACTTCCAGAATCTGGTTAGGGTTTGAACTTGATCCTTCTAGCTGAGAGACTGACCTAATCCATTCTGTTCAGCTCCGCTGAACTTAAATGAACTCTGTCACTGTTTTAGGTCCAGATTCCATTGCTTGGTCACCCCCATGTTTCTTTCGCTTTCTCGTTCTGTATTAACTCTTTGCTCTATCTAGCTCGTGAAAACCATTCCTCTAGCTCACCATATCCCTTTTAGCCATGGAAATAGCAGGACTTGGCAGGACTTGTTTTTCTGGAGTACTCTCTTTGGTTTGGAAGCCAACGACACCATTATTGGTAGGGTGCTTCACGTGAACAGCAGATGTTTATAGGGGAGGGGACCTAAGACAGCTATTGTTCTCCTTTTTTAGATTGCCCATCAAACACTTGTGTTTTAATAAATAAAAAAATGGGGGAGGGGGAGGAAACATTAGGGGTTGGAGAAGATAATGTATTACCTGTTTCTGAATAAACGTTTGTTATACAGAGAGTGGATTCTAAGCCTTTTTAGATGCTGTGAAGCAACTAAAGATAGGTGGCGTTGTTCCAACATTGAATCAAGTGTGCTTTTAGAAGAATATAGCAACTTCAGAACTGATACTGTGATGAAGAGCAAGAGAGAATTGGATGAGAGAATTGATACCCCTAAAACTTTTAATCATCGAAATTAGTAGCTGATTGTTGCTACTAAGTGGGAGCAGTTTGTGTTTCCACCAATTTCCAGTTCTGTTGTCAAGGAAAAGAACAGCCTTTGTCACTGACAGCTTAGAATTTTAAAAGTAATTTTATTTAAAAAAACAAAACAAACTGCTGTGAAATCAGGGTACCTGTTCTAGGTGAAGGAGGGTACTTTCATTATCAGCTAGGTAGAAGGCTGTGGAAATGTGATGGCGCGTGAATTGTGAGCACATATCTTGTCTCTTCTGAAAGAATGGAGAGATTCAAGCATTTTTATTTTATTAACAGAATCATGTCCGTTCCAAAAGCCAAATAGCAAGATGTGCTTTATGACTTGCTGTTAAACTATGCATTGTGTTTAGGTTATCTGTGAGAAATTACCATGACATTAACAGACTTCCTTGGAAGAACTACTGCTCAGGTCTCCAGCTCTGTGATCTATGGCAGTGTTTTTTTTATTTTCAGATCGGTGAAGTTGATGGCTGGCTGAACACTCCATGATTGGTCTTACATCAGTGTCTTGGTGTGCGTTGCTCTTCTTGTTTTCAGTCAGCTCTCTAAGGTTACCTTGGTCTTCTCACACCTCATGGCATGGCTGCACTCCTTGGGCACTGCAAGAAGAGTGTCCAGTTCTTCCCAGTCCTTTCCAAGCAGCTGAACTTTGGAGCTCTCTGCTTTCTCCTGGCTGCCCTACAGTTGTCATGTTCATCTCGTGTGTGCTCCACTTACCACCTTCCAACCTCACATCTGTGCACATCTGCCCTTATGTAGCATGGTTATATTTATTCTTTTGTCCAGTTTGTGGGGTTTTTTTGTATGTTTGTTTGTTTTTTTCCCCTGGGCTGTTAGAGCTTATCAACACCAATTGTTTGCACTGATTCAATGCGGCTGGCTGAGACAGGTGGTAGGTAGTTTGTAATAGTGTTTCTTTTTTCTTCTTTTTTTTTTTTTTTTTCCTCAAAACATGTATTTTCAATAGTTCCTTTTTTTTTTTTTTTTTTTAAATGTGCTGACTTCTGAAGCGATGCCACAGTTTGCAAGTTTGCCTGGTATATTTTCATGGCTTTTGCATGTACCATTTCTTCGGATAATGTTGATTAACTTGGATATTTGTTTGGGGAGTCAGCTCCCCATGTTGCTCCTTACTTTCTCCAATCTTTTTTTTTTTACCTCATACATATGTCCTGCTTCAAAAAATCTTTATTTTGGGGTGGTCCCATCTTCCATTCAGTCATAAATACGAGTTCTTCTGTAAAGGCTATCTCTTTTTATTTCCCGTTTTTCTTGATTAACAAGAATCTTTCAAAGACAACCCTAACAGCAGCTGTTTTTAATGTCTTCATATATCTTAAGAGAAGAAATGAATCTTAATTTGCCTCTCTAGGGTTAAGCACACTGCCCGAGTTTTACGCTGTTCAGGTCTTTATTTTTCAGAACTGTTAAATGACACGATGGTGCGCAATGAGATTTCCTACAGAGTGTGCTCTGGGTGAGGAAATAATTTTGTTCCGCTCAACCATGGGCGGCGGCGGGTCCCTCAGCGCCGCCCTGCGCTGCCGGCACTGAGGGAGCCGCCGCCATTAGCGGCCGGGAACTACAACTCCCGGCAGCCCCCGCGCCCCACCGCTTCCCGCCGAGCTAAGATGGCGGCCGCCAAGGAGCGTGTGGTTGGAGCGGCGCCGGCGGGTTACACGGGTGAGGAGGGGACGCGGGGCAGCGGGGAGGGACCGGGGCGGCAGCGGGGTCTTTAACCAGGTGCGTCCCCCCCCCGCAGCTCTGGCGGTGAAGTTCGGGGAGAGGCAGCGCTCGCCGCATTACCTGTTGGTGAAGGAGCACCAGGTGCGGGAAGGAGCCGGCACCACGCACCCGTCTCGCCGCACCCTCTTCGTCCTCAACGTCCCCCCGTACTGCAGCCCGGTGAGTGGGGCTGGGGGGGGTCTCACCGGCGTGGGTTGGGGGTGCTGGAGGCTGAAGGCATCGCCTCAGGAGCGTGGGGCCGTGGGCGGAGGAAGCGGGCGAGGCTGGGGGTCGCTGCGGGCGGAGGGCCCGGGGTGGTGCCGGAGGGGCCAGCCGGTACCCTCGGTAGTCCGTGCGTGGGAGGGTGGGGGGAGGAATGGGTCCTGTTTCACTGTCCCGTTCGTTTTCTCCTATGTCCCACTCCAGGACTCTCTCTCGAGGCTGTTCTCCCGCTGCGGCGACGTCCAGTGCGTGGACGTCTGTGAGAAGCCAGGGCCGGTCGAGAAAAAAGAAAAACTCAAGTCCAAATTCTTCAACCGCAAGACTGTAACGGTAAAGCTTGGGGGGAGCGGTGGGGAGACAGGGACACTGATGCTTTAGCATCAGTCAGAAAAGTTCACAAGTACCAAATGGCAGTATTTGGCACGTGGCACTTAAGGACACAATTTGGTGGTGGTCGTGGCAGTGTTAGGCTTACAGTTGGGCTTGATGACCTTAAAGGTCTTCTCTGATCTAAATGATTCCATGATTCTGTATGGGAAAACTATTTGGGAGGATTGGGTAATGTGACTACGTATTTTAAGTTTGTTATCTTTTTTTTTTCTTTGCTATCCCACTGCAATTTGTTTTAGTTTTAATTTACTTGTACTGCAGCTCCTTGCTGTGTCGCCAGTTTCCCTGGTGTATCTGACTCTGGGGGTCTCTTTCCTTTAGGGATTTCACGTAGCATACGTGGTGTTCAGGAAACCATCTGGCGTCCAGGCAGCCAAGGCCCTGTCACAGGAAGGTCCTTTGCTGATATCAACAGAGACTCACCCTGTGAAAACCGGCATTAGCAGTAAGTCAGCCCTAGCTATCACCCTGCTAGCTAGTGCCAGGGACAAACTATACCCCTTCCTCACTGAATCCTACCCTGCATGTCCCAGATTAATTCACAGTGCTTTGTACTGAGCCAGGAGATGTCTACTGTTTCATTTTCCTGCCTTTATTATTCACCAGGTAGCAATCTTGTACTGGACATTGTAGAGTGTGATCCAGTGACCTTATGGGAGAATGGGGTCACTTTGGTACAATGGAAGGGTGGTTTTGCCCAACATCTCTTCAGTATCACATAGATTCAGAGAAACTGGCTATATCTTGCCCTCAAAATGAAATCACAGAATACTAGGGGGTGGAAGGGACCTGCAGATATCATCCCCTCCAAAGCAGGTTCACCTACAGCAGGTTGCACAGGGTCGTATCAAGGTGGGTTTTGAATACCTCCAGAGAAGGAGACTCCACCACCTCTCTGGGCAGCCTGTTCTAGTGCTCTGGCACCCTCAAAGTAAAGAATTTTTGCCTCATGTTCAGCTGGAATTTCCTGTGTTCCAGTTTGTGCCCGTTGCCCCTTGTCCTGTCACTGGGCACCACTGAAGAGAGTCTGGTCCTGTACTCTTGACACCTGCCCTTTAAATATTTGTAAGTGTTGATGAATCAGTGCTTATTGATGAAGTCAGACACAATAACAGGCACCAGGTGTCTGTCAGGATGATGGCACTTTGGATGTGACCCCTTGGCAGGATTGCAGCCCTGAATGTCACACCTCTTGGGCTTAAGGCTTGGGAAGGTTGCAAGCTCTTCCCATCGTTTAGCTTCCTGTTCCTTACTGGTGTTGGCAGTGGGGAGGCTGAACAGAAATGCTAACAGAGTATGTCGTCCCCACAGCAGTTCTCTCTAGAGCTGCCCAAAGGCATGGCACGAGGGCTTGCTTCTAACTGAGGCTGCTGCTGACTTCTGCCTTCTTCTGTCTCAGAGTGGATCGCCAGTTACGCGGCCTCGGTTGTGGATCAGGAGGAGCTGAAGGCTGAGGTGGATACCTACATGCAAGACTATGACAAAAAGATAGCAGAGGTGAGAGAGGGAACCCAGCTAAGGAGTTTGTTTGGTGGGGGAGGGAGGAGGAAGGGAAAAGAGAGGATCTCTCAGTGCCCAGGCCTCAGTGGAAAGGGCAGAGGGAAACACAGTGGCTGTCAGGTGATGGAGAGCTGAATGTCTGCACCTTTGGTCCCACACCTTCCTTCAAGTCTTGTGCAGAAGCAGGAGCTGTAGCTTTGCGTGTGCGTTAGCATGAGCTGCCTCACCCCTCTGTCTGTATAGGAAGAAGCCAAAGCGGCCAAGGAGGAGGGCGTTCCGGACGAGGAAGGCTGGGTGAAGGTAACGCGGAAGGGTCGAAAGCCCGGCCTGCCCCGCACAGAGGCCGCCAACCTGCGGGTGTTGGAAAAGGAGAAGCAGAAACGGGCCCGCAAAGAGCTGCTCAACTTCTATGCCTGGCAGCATCGTGAGACCAAGAGAGAACGTGAGTGTCCCAGTCTCCTCCTAACCCTGCTCGTGTCTCTTGTCTCACATTGTGGCCCAAAGGACGTCCTTTTTCCTTTGGTGGAGGCAATGTCCAGCTGCAGGTGAACAGTTGGCTGGGTGGTTGTGTGAATGGCCTGGCCAGCTCTTGGGGGCTCCTCACCTCTTTGCTGCCAGAATATTTTGAAGGAGGGTGCGCAGGTCATGGCTTTCCAATAGATGTTCCTTCAGTCTGTGCAAAGGCAGCAGTTTCGAGGGAAAACAAGCCTGATTCCTCCCCAAGAGGGAGCTGCAGCACTGCCGGAGACGAACGCCAGAGCCCCAGCTTGGCATTCGGCCCAGGCACAAAAGGACCCACACTGGGAAGTGTGTGTTTGCAGGGAATGAGCCTCTCCTGGTGTGTGGAAGTGAACCTCCCTGGGAGGCAGAGATCTGCTGCTCCCCTGTGACCTGGCCTCTTTCTGTCTCTTTCAGACATCGCCCAGTTGAGGAAGAAATTTGAGGAGGACAAGCAGAGAATCGCGCTGATGCGAGCCCAGCGCAAGTTTCGGCCGTATTAAGCCACGTCGAGCTGTTTCCTCAGAGGCCTGTGCTGGAGAGGGCGGGAGAGATGCCTACGGACTCCACATGCCAAAGGATTTCAAGGAACTGAGGCAGCTTCAGGTTGTGCCTGCTGGAGGAGGGGGAGTTTCCTTCACTGCAGGGGTATCCTCTTGCTCTCCCAGCCCTCCTCCAGCCCTGGGGCACCACTTCCCAGGGTGCTCGGGTCAAGGGGCTGAGCCACTTCCTGTGCCAACCTGTATTTCCCTGCCACCCGAGGCCCTCCTAAAGCTTGGCGAGAGCTGGGACTGACCCAGCACAGCCTCTGCAGGGGCAGGGAATGGCTGAAGAACTGTAAATAAACTGCTGCTGGTGTTCTCACAACATGGGAATGCCTTTTTCTCTCTCTCGTGGTCTGCTGTAGGGGACAGCTTCTTGTGTGCTGGGGTGGCAATTAAAGTCACAGCTTTTATGGCTGTGCTTCTCAGCACATGGGGGTGCTTAAGAAGAAGAGGGAAGTGACCTCTGGAAAAGCCCAGCTGGGAAGTTTGCAGACCTGTTGCCACAAGCAAAAGATCAGTGCAGAGCCCCTACCCTTTCCCTCGGTGTTTCAGCCAGGTGTTGATGTGCCCAGTCTTCCAGCTGCACGTGGACCTCCACGGCCAGAGACACGGGGACTTCTGCTGTTCCACACCATAACTAGAATGAGGTAGGATGGCGGCCTGGCTTTTGAGGGAGGAACCATACTGGCCAAGACCCATTTCCACTTAACCTGCCACCAGCCTGCAGGAGGCAGGTAAGGATGGCAACAGGCACATCCAGCTGCGAGGCATCACTTTCGTACAGCCTCAGACTTAATGATTGTTCACCCATCATTGTTAATGATGCACTCTGTGATCAGAAAGGGGCTGCGACCCACCCACCCCCAGCCTTCTACTCATTTATTTTATTGCCCGCGGCCTCCATATGGGCATGACCGTGAAGGTAAGGTGGAAATGCTGGTAAATTCCGCAGAGCTGGGTTAAAATGGACTTACCCTCCCCTAGAAAACCCCCTGCAAATGCAGTTTCTGTTGCACGGGGAGACTGCCAGGCCCGCTTGCTTTATTTGGCTTTTTTTTGCATCAATTTAACTAGAAGGCAGATGGATCATTAATATGCTGTTATCTAAAGCAGAATGCATGTAAAAATCACTGCCTCCTAAAAATGGTGGTTTTGCTGCTTGGGTGAGCATCTCAAAAGAAAGAAGTCTCATTCTATACAGTCAAGAAGGCAGATTTAACATTGGGAGATTAATCTTTATTTAGAAGGACAGAAATCATCTCTGCCAACTTTTCCATTATTAGTAGTTCTCCCAGCTGCTTCAGTGAGAGGATTAGTGACTCATTCCCTGGGAGTTCATTAAAATGGCCTTCTGTGCCCAGGTGAGCTCTTATTTAAGCTGACTTTTTAAACAAGCAGCAGCTCTCACAGTAGAACAGGGGCGCTGAGGCCCTCTGAGCTCAGGCACCCGTGGAAGTAAGCAGAGAAGCAGAATGTTTCCTATTTTTTCAGTAAGTGTAACCCTGTGAGGAGACTGGTTGCACCATCCTCAGGGAGGAGGTGAGATGAGCCACCTGCCCCCAGCGGTGCTACAGCTGGTGGTGCTGCTGCTCCCACAGAGGCTGCCCCTGCCTGGATTCCTGCTCTGTTTCAGGGTGCAAGTTACGACCAAGCAAGGGGAAGGCCACTTTGGGCCTCCATCCCTGTACTCACAGAGCCAGGAGTGGAGGAAGGATTCCTTTTCACTTTGACAACTGAGATATTTTGCTCAGCTGTCCTCCAGGGAACCCTTGTCAGACCTGCTTCCACCCTGCAGTGAGCTAAGCTCAGGGAAGGGTATCATGAAACTGATGTTGGATGTGAGGTAGGAATGGTGACAATTCCTCCACAGCCTGCTTTTTAGGTCCCTGTTCTCCTGGATTGCTGCAGCAGTGACCCTTCTTCCTAGAGCCTGGCTCTGGTGTTCTGCGCCGTCAGGAAGTTGCTGATGATCCCAGACACCACCTCGGGCTCGTTCAGGTGCACAAAATGACTCCCAGGTACCTCTACTAGCTGGATGTGCTGGAGGGAGAGGACACAAGAAGATGTGGACCAGGAAAGTGTTCTGTCAGGCAAGCTGTGGTTACAGTGTGGTACTTGAGGTGGTGGGAGTGAGGCAGGACAGGGATGGGAGGACTTGGGAAGAGCCGGGTGCAGAGGGCAGTACTGACTTGGGACTTTGGAAGCAAGGGGAAAGGTGGCTTCCCCTCTTGTGAGGGCTGTGCTGTTAAGGACAAGTCACCTAGTGGGGGTGTCCACCAAGGCGAGCTGCTTCCCAGCTGCTGCTCTCAGGTTGGTGGCACAGAGTGTGGAGATCCAAGGATAGAGTTTGCTCTCACCTCTTTGAGGGTAGACTCGAACGCCTCCCGCAGGGCTTTCACAAAGTGATTTCTGCTGTGTAGCTTGTGTGGTACCAAGAGTCCATCCTGTGCTCTGAAAAGCAACAGCAAGGCTCAGTACAGCATACCATGTGCATTCCTTTGTCTTTGCTGCTGTCCTGGGCAGGAGCAGTGTCCCCAAGACAGTGGGGTGACAGACCCAATGGCTCTTTCCAGGCTGCTCATGAACAACAGGGTTACAGGGTCATTCATGGTAGCCAGAGGAGCACCACACAGCTTGGCTGAGCAGCTTTCTTCTGTCAAACTATCTGTTTAAAACCTTGGGTGACTGCCTAATGGTACCAGAGTGAAGACAGGTTAAATATTACCCCCCCGGGGCAGCTCCCTAACGGGTTATTGTGACTGGGGGATGAGGCAGGCCAGGAGGAAAGCAAGAGGGAGTGGTGCTGTGCAGGGTCATGTGTTTCTCAGGATGGTCCCTTGCTGTAGGGCAAAGAGACAGAAGGTTGTGGGACAGCAGCGTGAAGGCAAGAGCATGGGGAAGACAGGGTCAGGTCAGGCATTTCCTCAGTCAGCCTTGCACCAGGGAGGCGTAGCCTGAAAATGCAGCACCAGGCCAGAAGGAGGATGTGCCAGCTGCTCTCTGCCTGCTCCAGGAGCCTGCCCAGCCCAGGGCAGTGGTGGGGAACTAGGAAATGCTTCTCACGTGTGAGGCTGTATGGTTGTGCCAACTGGCCCGAAGGTCTGGCTGGCCACTGCAGAGGAGAGGGTAGCAGAGGACTCCTTTCTAACCTTCATCCCTTCCACCCAGGGCTGCAGGGAGGCAGTGAGGGTTGGTTTGGCTTGTGCCCCACTCACACAATGATGAGAACGCAGTCCTGAATCTTCTGCAGGAGCTTCACGCACTGCTCCACTGTGAAGGACTCTCGACTCTGCTGCAGATGCAAAGATATAGAGAGCAGCAAAGGTCAGGGACAGCAGCTTGGGGGCAGAGGTGTCCCCAACCCCTGTCGCACTGGTGGCTCTGAAGGCAGAAGTGGCTGTGGCCCCAAAGCTGCCGAGCTGGGACATGACAGGCAGCCAGGCTGTGCACAAGAGTAGCTGGCTCTGCAAAGGCTCCTTCTGTCCAGCTGCGTTTCAGGGCTGCCAACAACGCTGCCTGCTGGGATGCAGCACATATGGGAATGATCTCATAGCAGAGAAAAGCTTTAAAAATCCTCTTACTAAAAAGGAGACAGTAGACTACTCTGGCTTTCATAGTCTGGCAGTAGCATAGGTAAAGGAGGACTTTCTTGCTCAAAAGTGGCACAAAGCTATCAAAATATCAAACATCAGAACTTAGCTTCACTCTCTCTACCCTTCTTATATGGGTGACCTGACAAAGAAACTGACCTAAAGCATCCATCCTGTCTGAAGAGTTATAACGGCAGGAAAATGTGGCCAGGAGGCCCCGGGGCAGAGGAACTGCTAAAAAAAACTGTAACATTTTCCAATGACTCTGTAAGCTGAGTCAGTTAATGGTTGAGTGCGGGCTCTTTTAACAGCAGCATTTAAAAGAGACGTGGGAATTAGGGAAGCAGAAAGTAAACAGTTGGGTGGAGGCAGGACCTGGGCTCAGCAACTATCTCTGAGTTTTTACTGGGCTCAGAAGCAGCAGGGGGTACATCAGAAGAGTAATGCTCACCGTACGGACTCTCATGTCTCTGTTATACACCAGCCCTGGAATGAAAAAGAAATAAGAGAATGTTTTCATCTCTCACAGGAGCAGGAATTGCTCTCCTTCTCCTCACCTTTGGGGTCTGCCCAAGACTTTTTGAGGTTAGAGGAACAGGATTAATTCAGATTTTTCCTTTTTTGATTTCTTTTCTTCATCCGTTCTAGGACCCAAGCACCAACCCCAGTTGCTGGGAATGGAGAGCTCTGCCTCCAGACCTAATTGATCCCATTCAAACTGCGTAAACTTGTAGCTAGGGCACCCTGTACCCTGCAGAAGACAATAGCTGTTGGCACCGTTCCCTTCCTACACCCAGCCCTGGCCCAGCACTGTGATGAGCCATCTCCAAGCAGCCCCTTACCAGCGGGTGTCTCAGTTGCTCCTCGCTGCAGCAGGATGGCCCCACCCTCTGCTGTCAGATGTCTGTTTGCTTCTAAGAGCCTAGGGGAGACATGGCAGAGAGATTGTTCTGCTGGAAGAAGGAGGAAGCGAAGCGAAAATGGCATGACAAGGTGACAGCGAGCTCTCAGGCTGCTTCAGAAAAAAAGCAGGAAGGAGCAGCAGCTTCTGGCAGCAGAAGCAAAAGGTCTTGCTGAAATTCCAGAGGAGGATTTGCAAGGCAAGTACAGGGACAGTTTCCCCTTCTGGGCCAAGCAGCCGTAACACTGTCGAAGGTGATGGCAGGCAGCAAACGAAGAGGACAGATGGGAACCTACCTCTGCAATGCTGCTTCGGGGCTACGTGCTTTGGGAGTTTGCTGCTTTGCCTCTAGACTCAGTAATCTGTCAATCACCATCCGTTTTGATTTCAGCCATTCCTCAGTGTCCTGAAACAAAGACAGGCAGGGAACAGGAGTAACCTCTCTCCTCTGAATCACTTTACCCCTTGTCAGAGGGTAGAAGAGGGCATTTCACCATTCAGCATCCCTCAGAACTGGTACCACTTACGGACATCATGTTAAAAATGCTCATTTATAGGGAAAAGGGAACAGCAATACTTAAAAGTCAAGGTAGGACAGAATCATAGAATGGCTTGGGTTGGAAGGGACCTTAAAGATCATCTTGTTGTGACCCCCCTGCTGTAGGCAGGGGCACCTACCAAGTGTCCCCCCAAGGGCCACCCTAAGCAGGGACCTCAGTCCATACAACAAGGAGCAGATCTGTGCCTGCCAAAATGAAGAGCCCTGAGACTTCTCTGAGCTTCCAGAAACTGGTCACATAAGTGCTTTTGCTGAACAAATGAGGGAAAGAAAAAAAAAAAATCTCTATTTTTTTATTTAAAAAAGGGAGGGGAAGAACACATGAAAATCTAACCTCTGGAGCTAGCAGAAAGCCAAGATTTTCCAGCAGGATCAGCTTGTCCACCATCTCAGGATAAAGGAAAGAGAACTGAAGAGAGATGAAACAATATGAGAAAGAGAAAAGCTGGACATGGAGTGATACTTCCATGCTGCTACACTGGAGAGGGGGGCAGGGAAGGCCCTCTCCTCCTCTGAGATTCAAGTCCCAGTCTGTCCCTTCATTCCTTTCCCATTTGTTGTTCCAGCTTCAGAAATCACAAACCCTATGAAGAAAAGATGCTTTACTCACCATTCCTGCCACAGACCCACCTGCAAAGGAGAGCAGTGTGTTCAGTTATGCACTGGACCTGCCCCATCCCTCCCCAAGTAACAGAAACTCCCCTTTGCCCAGCAGGAGCTGCCTTAGAAGCACAAACGCATGTTGTACCAAGGGACAAAGGCCAAGCTACACAGTAAAGCTCTCCCAGCAGGCAGGACACGGGCAGAGAGCGGGGCTACTGGCCAGCTGGACTCCCAGTCCTGCTTCATCCCCATCTCCCTTTCAGACAGCAGAGGTGAGGGAGGAGTTACTAGCTAAAACAGTAGTGTGTGGGTACTGAGCTGTGGCCAGAGCAGGCCTGGGGAGCAAAACCCCATCAGGCACCCCATCCCAGGCACAAAGGGACAGAGTGTGGTTCTCCTCAGCAAGCTCCATGATCCACCAAGAAGGGCCCTGCTGTCCCCAGGCTTTGTGGCCTTTGTGCTGTGAATTCTCCTGCCACAGACCACCCCTTTTTGCCCATCACTCTTCCCTTCTGGGGGTGGAGGAAAGGCCCACAGCAAGAGTTGCCACTGTTTGTAGTACAGGGTCTTGAAAGTAGAGGCATTTCAAACAAGGGCACAGATTTTTTTAATCACTCAAGCAGGAACCTAGTACTTGACACGATATAATAAATATTCCAACCCAGCTCTTAGCAGCATGTCTTGTAAGTTAATTATCTACTCCTATTTCTAGAACCTCACAGCTTACAAGGACAAGAGCCACTTACCCATACTGTGACCCATCAGGGTGAACCGTCTCCACTGCAAGGCTAAGTGGCAACAGACAAAAACAGATAGGCCTGCATTAGAAACCTCGACCAACACATGCCCCCTCTCCCAGGAGGGCTTTTACACTGCTTAATTTGCTTCCTAATCCAGAAACGAGGTGGATAAGTACACCAGTTTTAAAGAAAAAGAGCATCCACCACCTCATTTCCTTGGCAGTTAAGTCATGCAGTTCTCAAGCTCTCTCTGTATCGCAAACAAACTACAGCAAATTCCCATTCGTTGCCAGACACAAGACTGGCAAGAAGCAGAGGAGCCTGACTGGGCAGCATCTGCTGGAAGAAGGAGACCTTAACAGAGCATCCTGCTGCAAGGCATTCCATAAGAGCCATCAAGACACAGAGCCAGGTCCACTGCCTTGAGGAAAGTATGATTATTCCAAGTGAAAGCTCTCTGCACCATTTAGCACATCAGGCTCTTCAGTCCGTTTTTAGGGCACTCTGAGATGCTTATGGGAAAATACTGCTTCATCAGTGCTGCCCATCTGAAATACACTTCACTGAAAGACATGTTTTATCCTCTGGCATGTCAAAGAACTTCTAGAGGCTCTTTATATACTGAATGAGGGATGCAAAACTGCACATGCCACAGCCTTCCCCAAGACCAGCATACAGATGGGCAGTTAGATCAGGAGTTATTAGGAGCCCAAGACACCTTGGCTTCAGATTTCCTTGCATGATACTAAAGCAAGCAGCAAGCTGTCATCAGGGAGAACCAGAAGAGTCTCCCACTTAGACCTAACACTGGTTAGAGGTCACCAGCTGCTTACAAAAAGTCATTCTGGCAGAACTATTTGGTTGCATCCACCATTTCGCCACTACTGCTTTCTAACATAGAAACACTTGCTTCACAGGCTTACTGGTTCTTCCTCTCACAAAATAGCAAGAAAGAGGGATGCTTATTCAGTCTGTGGTCAAAAAGCATCAGCTAACATCAGGCTGGGGAGAAGCAGAGAGAACTGACCCCTCACCTGGCAGTAAATGCTGCTTGCTTGTTCCAAGGAGCAGAAGCAATATAGCAGTCCCTCCACAAATATCCCCTCAAGGGTCCCTTCAGCTACCTACCTGCTGCCACTCGGCGCACATCGCTCACGTAATCCAGAAAATGGTAGGGGGAACCTGCAGGTCGGTGGGATGACAAGCCATGGCCAGAAAAATCCATTGCCACATAATAGCAATCTGAAAGGGAAAGAGTATCAGATACTTAGCCCTGCAGCCAACAACAAGAACCATCCTGATGAGCCAGACCTACCTCTGGGGAGCAGTGGAATGAGTTTGTCAAAGGTGTTGGCATTGTCCAGCCAGCCGTGCAAGCACAGCACGGGGTGTCCATCTGAGGGTCCCCAAGCCTTGGCTGCCACATGGCCCCAGGGTACAGGGAACTTCAGCTCTGAGAACATGCCCAAAATAGAGTGCTCAAAAGTGATGTCCCTGGAGAGTCAAGCGCTCGGAGTAGGTCCCAGGAGTCTTGTTAATGGCCCAGAGCTCTGAAAAGAGTAATACGGGTCTTTAGTAACTCACCAGCCTCCTGTGGTCTTAATTAGCAGCTTGCTGATTTATAGCTCCCCATTCAACATCCCAAGCTGCCATCCCTGCCTGCCTGTTTGGGGAACCCTCCTCCCAGCACGTACTAGCGATGCTCCTAGGAAGAAATAAGCTTTCTCTACACAGGAGGAGAAAGCCTCCTCTCTGTGTCTCCGCAGCAGCTGCAACCGGACCAGAAGGCACAGGAGATCTGGCAAGAGGGAACCACGCAGAATTCCCCCAGCTAGCTGCAGTCAGCCAGGCACCTGTCCTGGACCAAAAAGACAATTTAGAGAATACGGATGCTGCCTTCAGTACTAGACTGTTGTTACCACCTTCTTCTCTTTTACCTCGGTGCTTCTCCTCTTTCACACCACCAGTCGGCACCTTTGAGAGAGAAGCTGGCTACATGCCACACAACCGGTCACTGCTGTCACCCTCCCGTGCACCCCTCAAGGCCAGGGACCCTGCATGGGATATAGGTCCGCAGCCTGCCAGGCACCCGCTCAAGCTCCAACCTGCCTCATGACTGCCAATCTGCCTGGCAATTACTGAGCTATATCCGACTTCTACTCAACCCCAGGCTCCTCAGTGAACCCCCCAGTACTACCCAGCCTCTGGGGATCTTCCAGGGGTGGTTTGAACAGCTCCCCTTTACCCCCAAGCCCTTCTGACCACTAGGGCACCTCATGGGCAGCCAGACTATCCCCATTCCCAAGTCTCCCATGCCGTATCCACTTTCCAATGACTTGCCTCAGGTCTTTGCTCCCTTCAACAGCACCCTGCAACCTCACAGCAATTAAATCACTCTGACAGCAAGTCCCTCCTGAGCCCATACCTCTATAAGGTGTGAGGACAGAGGGGGCAGGCTGAGAGAGGAGGCTGCTGTCAGGGCCCTGAGAGCACTTAAAGGCCCTAATGGTCCCCATCAGCCACACCTGGGGCCTCCCTTACATCTCTACCCATGAGCCTATTTAAGCTCAGCCCAGGACCATGTCCCTGCCTGCTGTGCCTGACCCCAGCTGCTCTCACCAGGCCTGATCCTGACAACCGTGGGCTGACTTCCTGGCGTGACGATGGACCTTCCCCTTCCTCACAGACCTGCCTGACGACCTGGGCTCCTGGCAGAGCCTGTTTGCCCTCCCCGGGCCTGCCCTGCCAGGGCCCAGCCAGACTCCAGGCCCGGGGTCCCCTCGGCGCCGGGTAGGAGCCTCCCCAGGCGGGCAGGAAGGGCCCTCACACCCGGGCCTTCGAAGCCTCAGGGAGCCCTGGGACACCTGCTCCCGGCCCCGGCGAAGGGTTTGCCCGGGGACCGACCCCCGTCCGGCGCCGAGGGCGGCCCAAGGAGCGCCGCGGCCGCCCCGACCCCGCTCCCCGCGCCGCCCTCACGCTGCGCCCCGGCCCCCTCCTACCGCTCCGTCCGGCCGGGACGGCAGAGCAAGGCCGCGGCAGGAGGACGCTGACCGGCGGCGGGGCGGGGCGGCCCGGCTGCACCGCCCCGCTCCCCGCCTCCTCGGGGCGCCCCGGGCCTCCGCCTCCTGCCGCTCCGCCGGCCCGGGGCCGTTTCGGCCCGAGGGAGGGGACGGGGCGGGGGGAGTGCGGCCATCTTTGCCTGCCATCATCACCTCACGGCTCCGGGCGTCCGGCCGGGACACGGGGTGGTGGGTGGATGAGGGCACCACAGCGCGGCCTCCTCTGGGTTCCCCACCTCTCCCCACCCTTGGCCTTGCAGCCAGGGACCATCCTGGGAAACATGGCACTGCTCCCTCTTGCTTTCCTCCTGAGCTGGCTCTTCCCCATCCCATCCTTCTCCAGACCCCAAAGCCTCTTGCCTGAAAATACAGGTGAAACCATGGCAACCTCCACCTTCTCCAGCTGGTCCTGGAGCCCCCAGCCTGACCCAGCTCTTGCAAGCTCTCCTCTGGGTGCCCAGGGCAGGTAGCCGGTGGCTAATGCAGAGCCCCACAATCTGTTAAGCTGTCTGGATGGGTAGGTGGTTCTGTCAGTCCTCCTCTGCACAGAGCCTGTGTTCAGATGGGGCTTCGTGAGAGTAACAAGCAGTTTATGATGGCCGTGGGGTCTGAAGCTGTGACCAACCTACTGGGTATGATGGGGACCTGTGAGGAGTTGTGGTCATGGAGGTACGGCTGTGTCCTTGACTACCTCCAGAAGACATGGTACTGATAATGGAAACCGCCTGCACTGCAGGGTCACAGCGTGAGATGTTTTAACTGTGACCCAGGAGCACCACAGCGACATCAAACAGGCTCAGTGCTCGACACCAGTGCTGAGCTTCTGTCGCTCTCTGATGGAGAAACTCTTCTGAACTCTCAACACTTGCTGGAATCATGTTGCTCCAGGGGTGAGAGTCACTCTCCCATGCTGTGACCCATCGCAGTGAACCGACTCTACTGTGAGGCCGAGTTGCAGCAGACAGACAGCGGACAGCACTGCCTTAGTCACTCCACCCTTCTGCAAAAGCAGACCCCTCTCAGCCAGAGAAGTTTCTAAACAGGTTGCCTCATTAGTTGTCCAGAAAGGGGGTAGCTGTATAGACTAGGCTTCGAGAAAGTCAATACCCGGGTACGGCTGGGAATACCACTTGCTGTTGCCTCGCATTTCTTCCAGCAGTTAGAGTCTACCAGGCCTAACGCAGACCACGGCCATTCCCCTTCAGTCAAGGACTCAGCAGTCAAATGAAGCAAAGTCAAACCTCGCTGCGAGCAGTGGGATGCCTTGCTGGAACAGTTGGAGAGAGCAGAATGAATGTCTGTTCTTAGGGAGTCATTTTTATATTGGTAATTGAAAACTCTCTGCTCGGTTCAGCACATCAGTCTCCTAAATTACACAATACATTTTCAGAACAGCCTGCAAACTTGAAAGAAACTAGGGTAGAAGCTTACAGCCCCGTTTCTCCTGCTTAGTTCAAACTCATCCTGGCAAAATAGTCTCTGCACCACAGCAGTTGAAAGGTAACCTTGGGGACCCATCACAGAGAAGAAATAAGAGAGCTATGCAACTCACAACCTCCCCTCCAGGTGAGCCATTAGAAAGGAAATCAGACCATGAATTCTTATAGGCCTTGAAAGTCCAGTGTATTGCTTTTTCTTAGGCTTCCATGAAGGAGGTGCAGGAAAACAGACCACAAGCACCGGGGAACTGCGCAGAGGGAGGGAGACCACAGTACCATCTACAGCTTCTTTCCTACGACTTGCAGAGGTGGGTGTCCGATTACAAAAGGTGAAAAGCAAGACAGTCTTTTTTTGGCAGAACACAGATTTGTAAAATGCTTTCAATAATCGATCGCTGCTGCTGCTGTCATGGAGGGCAGGGTCTTCCTGTGGATTGCTGGGATTTCTTCATGGCAAGGAGCCAGAAAGCAGTATAATTGTTAGGCAGGGGCTGCAAAGATTGCAGTTCTGTCTATGGTGTGGCTCTTGAGGAAGAGGAGTCAGGAGCAGGAATGATGCAGATCCCTTGCACAGACCTCTGCAGTTAGTGGGACGGTGGGCCATGGCCAGGAAAAGGGAACTTCACCTCTGAGAACTTGTACCCACAAGCAACATCCTCTGAGTGCTACATGCTGAGAGCTTGTCCCAGGGACCTTGTTAACAGCCTAGAGCTCTGGACAGGGCTTGTAGATAGATGGTAGTTACCAAATGTATCTGGTACTCCTGATCTTTGCTTAATACCAGTTTTTAGGCACGAGCCTTGTTTGGGATAATCCTGAGATTTCACTGCAAATGCTTATCCTGGTAGTATGTGTATCACCACTCACAGGTCTTGGACCCTCTCCCCCACTCCAGCAGCCAGCAGGATCTTGGCTGTCTTTGCTTTGTATCACACAGGTGATCTCTGGGTCTTGGGTGGGAAGGATGTGTTCTCTAGTGCATTCTGACTCTAGTGACTTGCATCCCAAGTCACTTCTGGTAGGATCCTCCATCAGCAGGGACCTCATGGAAAGGAAAAATTCCTCACAGAAATCATCAACAATAGGTGATGTGGGATAGAGCTCCAAGTGGAGGAGGTGACACTGGGATGCAGTCTTGGACCCTCCCTCAGCGGCAGGACTGTCATCCTATAAGCCAAAGTCAGATGGTTGAAGTCTTCTCCAGGTCCCTCATGCCTTCTCTAGAAATGCTACTTATCCCTCTGAACGAGCAGCCCAGCATCTGACAAAGCTGCGTATCTCCCCCCACACCACCTGGCAAACCACCCCCACCACCCCCCAGAAGGAGGGCCCAATGCAGGATGCATGGCAAAATTTGAATGGCTCACAAAATTAGTTTTGCTGCATTTGCTTCTAAGAAGTATTGCAGACTACTGCAGTGCAATTGCTGCCTGTAGAGGACCAAATTAGACTCCACCTGGTAAGGTGCTGGGGGTGTTGGCTGAGCTGCACTGGCCTAGTAGTAAGGCAGGCTAGTTTTGCTTAAGAACTGGGAGTTAGAGATATCCCATGTACTTAGCAAAGGATAATTTAACCCCTGTGTCCTTGCAAAGGAGAAGTAGACTTGCAATGGTGAACATTGGGACATGCAAAGCTGTTATGCTCTGCTGACTTGGAACAGCATTGATCAGTTTGTGCTAGCTGCAGATCTGGTGAGGAAACTTTAAGTACAGCAGATTGATTGCTACCAAGGGACAAATTCCCCATAGCTGGTTGGATTCAAGCACTGAAGCACTGACATATTGATCTATTTATGGTGATTTATTAGTATTAGTCCTGTACCCCAAACTCTCTTGTGCACTTATACGAGTAAAAAAGCATGCTATTGCTAGCTTAACTGATTTCTTCCAGAGGATGTATAGAGGATATACCACTACATAGAGCTCCACCTTATGAGCATATGTTGCAATCTACAGTGGACAGGAATATAAAAGTGATCACAGGGCAAAATGT